GTTCGGCCGATCGTTTGGTTCCCACTGGCTGCGGTTCGCCACTCCAGGCCAATGGGAGCAGTGGGAAGCGGCGGCCAGCACATCCCTCGGCCTGTGCCGCTTCCCGCTGCCCCCATTGGCCTGGAGCAGCGAACCGCGGCCAGTGGGAGCTGCGATCAGCCAAACCTGCCGATGTGGCAGGTAAACAAACTGACTCAGCCCGCCAGGGGGCTTACCCTGGCGAGCCGCGTGCCAAAGGTTGCCGATCCCTGCATTAGACCTCTTTTACAGATAAACCAAGGTGTAAACCTGGAACATTCAACCCATAGGTTTCCTGGACCTGCTCTGAATAACAATGTTTAATCCATTGTGGTATGGTTTGTTGGTATGTTGACATTACTTGACTGAGAGTTCTATGTCTTGTGTCACGTGACTAAAGTATGGTTTTGGGGAGTTTTTGTTGCAACAACAACATTTTTGCACACAAATGTGCATAAAAATAATAAAAATAGTTAAAATATAAAAAATATTAATAATAAAACCTTTTCCTTTGTAGTACCACACTATTTAGAATTAGAATTTAATCCCCAGGGGTGTGTCCTTATAAAACATCAGTGCTGGTTCAATCTTTGCAAAAGTCAGATAAATATAGGTGTGTTTGTCAATGAACAATGTAATTGTAATTTGATTGTAATAACCAAACAATATTATGATATATTATGGTATAGTATATTTTATTATATTATACTTTATATTATAATATTATAATTATATATTATATATTACATAATTATATATATATAATTTTTATTTGGAATTTGTCAGGCAATGTGGCCAGTTGTTTGGCGGAACCCACATTAGAAATTCAAAAGTTCATTGGGCAAACCACCATAATATTAATGTAAAAGTCTCCCTTTAATAGCTATTACAGCAACAATGTTTCATAATGTAATAAATAAATAAATAAATAAAATATAATCTAATATTGTTTGGTTCTTACAATCAAACAATAAAAATATAAAATCAAGTTCTACCTAAAGTAACATGGTGATCCTCAATATTATCCCCATATCAGCGGGGGGTGGATATGTTTATACTGAAACAAATAGTTTTAATTATTTAAGTTTGAATTTGTATAACTTGTGTTGTTCTGAGGTTTGTTTAGGAATAGTTAAAGGAATTAAGTTATCAATTCAAATCTAGTGAATGCCCATGACACCAAGTCCCACAATGTTGTACCAGAAAAGGGTCGTGTTTGTACAGGTACTCGGCAACAATACAAAATCCTCAGAGGGGCCCAAGCCAAAAACTAGCTCCCAGCACCAGGAAGCTGGCAGCATTGTTCCTTCTCTGCAGCAGCCATGATGTTCTAACAGTTGGTTCGGGGAGACACCTGGCCAATTACATGCAGACGCCCAAGCTCCAGTGTCTGTACCATGTGAAGGAAGCTGAGAAAACAGACTTTGGCGTAAACCTCCAAATGGTGAACTCTTTATATTGTGATCTGGAGCCCACAGCAGCAGCCTGGTGCAAGGCACCTTTTGTGCACTGGTGCAAGCACATATTTTATGCACTGGTACAAGGACACCTTTTGTGCACTGGTATCATCATTGCAGTAATATAATCTCATCCCCAGTGGACAGTATACAAAAGCTGGGGAAGACTGAACATGGACAGTATTAAGTGCATTGCCTGAAGTGTTGGTGTCATGTATATCTCTATATATGTAGGTGTATGTATCAGAAAGGGACACATTCTAAAGGAGCAGACCAGGAAAAAGTGCAACTCTCAGCTGAGCACTAACATGTGTAACCACATCACCTTTAGTAACCTGGAAAAGGGTTTATCTTCAAATCAGTAACTCTGGAGTGGGTACATCTATACCAGGTGTAGCAAGGGGGGGGGGGAAATCAGCTCTGTCTACAGTATACACATATGACACCATCCTATAATTATAGGATTAGAAAAGTTCCCACATTTAACCAAGGATTAGCAATAGCTACATTGTATTGTAAATTACTGTTTTTAAAACAGGAAACAGAAAAAGCCACTTGTTTAATTCTTGTCAAAAGTGCCACTGAAAGCAGTTCAGGTCTGGGGTCTGTAACACTGCACCCTAATTAAAACTCTTATTTAACTAAGATTATCATGGCAAAATCTTGTGTGTCCTGTTCACAGCCTCGTTGCCTGTGTTCAATCCAGTGAGAATGTGTTCGGTCACTTGGCAGTTATCCACTCAGTAGGTCACCTTGAAGACAATGTCTATAATAAATGCAGCAATGTATCTCCTCTGGTAGTTTATCACCCAAACAGGAAAATTCCACCGATGGCCTGTTGCTCTGAAGAGAGGTATCAGCACATTGGCAGATACAATATGTTTGAGGTGTGGTCAGAAGGAAGGTACCATAAAATCCGTTGTCATCGTTGTCAGTAGCCTGCCAGGCTAACCAAGCAATCATAGGCGCCAACTCCATGGGTGCTCTGGGGCTGGAGCACCCACGGGGAAAATTAGTGGGTGCTCTGCACCCACCAGCAGTCAAGCTCCCCTCACCCTCCGCCCCACCTCCTCCTTGCCTTGCAACGCCACGTCCCCGCTCCTCCACCTACCTCCCAGCGCTTCCCCCCCTGGCCGCCGCCAAACAGCTGTTTGGCATCGTTAGCATGCTCCAGGAGGGAGCGGGGAGGAGCGGGAAAGTGGTGTGCTCAGGGGCGGAGACAGAGAAGAGGCGGGGCGGGGATTTGGGGAAGGGGCTGGAATGTGGGCAGGGCCGGGGGCAGAAGAGGGTCGAGCACCCATGGGAAAGAGGGTAAGTCAGCGCCTATGCAAGCAATAGGCTTGGATGCGGAGGGTAACATATAATGAAGTGGCTGGTATCCCAGTATTGCAATATATCTTAAAATTACGGTTATGGTCAATTGGAGTGCAGGGTTACAGGGTTACATTTTTGCCAAACCCCAAAGGCGCATACACACCTATACTAATTAAGCAAGTGGCAATTCCCATTTTCCTGTTATCTGTTGTGTTAAGAGTAAAGTCCTCATCTTATGTAATAGGGACAAGGGTTCGTTAACACCCATAGCCCAGTGGGCTAGTTCGCCTTTATTATATTTACTGCTTTACATTATATTCTGCTTTGCATTATATTCAGCGGTAATGCAAGAAACCTACAGGCCTGTATCTTGTAAGATGTTAGCGTCAGCAAGTTAGCAGAAGGGTTAAGGCCTATGAACTTTGAACAGATAAACATTGCACAAATAAACAGCCCAACGGAAAACCCCAAGTATTTGGGGAGCTGAAAATAAAGGTTAAAGGCCTCGGTATATCTGTGGATATACTGTATTTGAGACAGACACTGTTTTGTGCGGTAAGGCTGACCAAGTGGAAGACTCTGATGGAGAGGGTGACCTAGGCTGGAAATAGCCAATTTTGCATTGTAACCAATCGTAAGGAGACCCACCTCATAAAAATTATTAAC